CAGCAGCAGCAGCAGCAGCAGCAGCAGGAGGGTTTAGAGGTATTTATAAAGATGTTTTGTTGGTGGGGGTAGATGTAGACGGGACGGTGCTGCTAAGCAAATGGAAAGGAGACGAATTTACTGAAATAAAAAAAGAAAGCGGAGACAGTACCGTCGCTCTGCTGTCTGCTGCTCGTGCTGCTGCTGCTGCTGCTGCTGCTGCTGCTGCTGCTGCAGCAGCAGCAGCAGCAGGGGATACGGCAGATGCTGCTGCTGCTGCAGCAGCAGCAGCAGCAGCAAAAAATTTTAATACAATTGCGAGAACTGCTATTAGTGAATATGCTGATGGGTTTAATAGAGTTATTTATAAATATAAACAAATACATAAAAATAAAAAAGGAGACAGAGAAGGAGAAGAAGGAGACAAAATAGAAACAGAAGGAGGAGACAGAGAAACAGAAGGAGACAGAAAAAATAATAAAAAAGAAAAAGAAAAAGAAAAAGAAAATAAAGAAGAAGAAGATAGAGAAAAAGAAACAGAAGAAGAAGAAGAAGATAAAGAAAAAGAAAAAGAAAAAGAAAAAAAAGAAAAAGAAAAAAAAGAAAAAGAAAAAGAAAAAGATAAAGATAAAGATAAAGATATAGATATAGAAAAAGAAAAAGAAGAAACAGAAGAAACAGAAGAAGAAGAAGATAAAGAAGAAAAAGAAAAAGAAGAAAATATAGATAAAGATAGAGAAAAAGAAAAAGAAAAAGAAAAAGAAAAAAAAGAAAAAAAAGAAAAAGAGACAGAATGGGGTGTCTCCTTTTTGGTGTCTTCGTTAGATGCCTTCGAACGGAGACTCGCCTCCACCCCACACACTAAGACACTACTCAAAGGAATGAGAGACAGTAAATATAAATAAATAAATAAATAAATATAAATAAATAAATATAAATAAATAAATAAATATATAAATATAAATAAATAAATAGAGAGAGAGAGTGGAAAAAAAAAGAGAAAGATATATGTATTATATAACACCCCACACACTAAGACACTACTCAAAGGAATGAGAGACAGTAAATATTTATATTTATATTTATTTATTTATTTATATTTATTTATTTATTTATTTATTTGTTTATTTATTTTTTTATTTATAAATAAATATAAATAAATAAATAAATAGAATGGAGAAAAAGAAAAAAAAATATGTATTATATAACACAACACACACTAAGACACTACTCAAAGGAATGAGAGACAGTAAATAAATAAATAAATATAAATAAATAAATATAAATAAATAAATATAAATAAATAAATATAAATAAATAAATAAATAAATATAAATAAATATATACATATAAATAAATAAATAAATAAATAAATATAAAAATAAAATGGTTGGTTTGTTTGTTAATAAATAGAAACAGAGACAAACTCAATTTTATTTTATTTATTTTACTTATTTTATTTATTTTATTTATTTTATTTATTTTATTTATTTTATTTATTTTATTTATTTTATTTATCTATTTATTTATTCTATCTTATTTATTTTATTTATTTTATCATATTCATTTATTTATTTATTTACTTATATATTTATTTATTTATTTATTTATTTATTTGTTTATTTTATTTGTTTATTTTATTTATTTCATTACATTTATATGTTTATTTTATTTACTAGTTTTATTTATTTATTTTATTTTATTTATTTATTTTATATATTTATTTTTTTATTTTATTTATTTTATATATTTATTTATTTATTTATTTATTTTATTTATTTTATTTATTTATTTTATATATTTATTTATTTACTTATTTTATTTATTTATTTTATTTATTTATTTATTTATTTATTTTATTTATTTATTTATTTATTTATTTATTTATTTATTTATTTATTATTTATTTTATTTCTTTTATTTATTTATTTATTTATTTTATTTATTTATTTATTTATTTGTTTTTTGTTTGTAGGTACGATAGACTGGTGGATGAATAAGGAAGACAGCCCCCTACAGCTGCACCGAAGGGGGGCCCCTGAGGTTTGTTTTTTTATTTATTTTTATATATTTTTATTTATTTATTTTATTTTTTTTTGTTTTCTTTGTCTCCTTTTGTGTTTATTTGTCTCCTTTTATGTCTCTCTCTCTTTCTCTGTCTCCTTTTCTATCTCTTCATCTGTCTCCTTTTTTGTCTCTTTCTTTATCTGTCTCCTTTTCTGTATCTCTTTCTGTCTCTTTTTCTGTCTCTTTATCTGTCTCTTTTTTTGTCTCTTTATCTGTCTCTTTCTTTCTCTGTCTCCTTTCCTGTCTCTCAATCTGTCTCCTTTTCTATCTGTCTCCTTTTCTATCTGTCTCTTTATCTATCTCTTTCTTTTTCTGTCTCTATCTGTCTCTTTATTTGTCTCTTTATCTCTCTGTCTCTCTTTCTGTCTCTTTATTTGTCTCTCTCTGTCTCTGTCTCTTTTTCTGTCTCTTTATTTGTCTCTTTATCTCTCTCTCTGTCTCCTTTTCTGTCTCTTTATTTGTCTCTTTNTTCTGTCTCTTTATTTGTCTCTTTATCTCTCTCTCTGTCTCCTTTTCTGTCTCTTTATTTGTCTCTTTATATCTCTGTTGTGTGTTTCTTTCTGTTTCCTTTTGTTTTAGCTGTCTCCTTTCTGTCTCTCTTTATTTTATTTGTCTCCTTTTTGTCTCTTTGTTTCTTTCTCTCTCAATTTGTCTCCTTTTTGTTTCTTTTTTTCTCTATTTCTCTCCTTTCTGTCTCCTCATTTCTGTATGTACTTTCTTTTTATCTCTTTCTGTCTCCTTTTGTCTCCTTTTGTCTCCTTTGTATTTCTATTTGTCTCCTTTTCTCTCCTTTTATCTCTTCTTTTGTCCCTTTCTGTCTCCTTTTTTCTCCTTTCTGTCTCCTTTTGTCTCCTTTTGTCTCCTTTTGTCTCCTTGTGTCTCCTTTCTGTCTCCTTTGTATTTATATTTTTTTCTTTTGTCTCCTTTTGTCTCCTTTTGTCTCCTTTTGTCTCCTTTTGTCTCCTTTTGTCTCCTTTTTTCTCGGCCTCTGCTGCAACTGCTATCTTTTGGTGTGTCTGTCTCTCATATGTGTGTTTGTTTCTTTCTCTCTCAATTTGTCTCCTTTTTGTTTCTTTTTT